GAGACGCTGATATCAGTTGAAAAGGATTCTTACTGAGGTGATCGATCGTCAACAAGGTAACGGTTTCTTCTTCGGCTAAAGTGTACCTGGGACAAGCTGAGATACCTGACGGAGCGTGCAATTTCTGGTCAAACAGATTAAATTCCCTCACATAGTTCTCTGTAAGATAAATCTCAATTTCCTCTTAAACTCACCTCTCTCTCATAAATCAGTACAGATATTTTTAGAAATATCTGAAGCAAAGTCCTCAAATCACCGCCGAGTGATTTGAAGTTCATTATTTGTGAAACTGTCTGTTATTATTTTCATATTTTGCCAAATTAATGTAAATGTTTGATGTTAAACTTTGATTCTGAAAATAAATGACTCCATTCATTTGATGGGTCAAAGGTAATAACGTCTCTCGTTACATTTCTGTTAAATTCAATGCACGGCATTTACAGTCAGAAAAATGAAGAACTCGTGAAAGGTATGCATAAATATATATTTCATATATTTGTCATACAACAAGTGACACGTACCCACGTGACTCACTACACTCCTGATGAGAAAACAAGTGCCAACTGAGTTTAAACATAATTTAATTCACAAATCTGAGATAAAGCTTACCTAAATTTTAACGTTAGAACTAAAACCTTAGTCCAAAATACTCTTCTCAAAGTCTCTTTTATTTACGTCATTCACTTTCTGAAATACTACTATTGGTTATTCACCCATATTTCATATTTGACATAATTTCATATTGTTATTATTCAAACTGAAAATAAATGTCACAGAATTGTGTATTTAAATGACCAGATTCTTTGTCTTTTCTTCGAGTGAGGGGAATTAAATTTGTTACAAGAACTCACGTGTAATTTTGTGGTTTAGGCCGGTCAACATTTATTACATAACTGAACGATTAGTGTATGCACCTGCTAAAAGGTGTTCAGACCACAACCTTTCCCCCTACATATTATTTTATTTATTATTACTTTTTTATTATCATTTATTATTATTTTTATTTATTTATTTAATTTCTTTTCTTTTGTAACTAAAACATAGAATGACTGACTGGTGGTGAGTTTAGACCTGAAACTTGAAACACAAAAACCTTTGGACCTTGTAGGAGTATATATCACTTGCTGCCATTCATGCCAGAGTTAAAGATTCAGAACATTTTAAACTGGGAAGGAACAGTCATAGCTATAACGGTCAACCCTTGTAACTGTTGTGGTAGAGGTCAATTCAGTTTACTTCATTTATAAAGCACCAAGTCACAACAGAAGTCATCTCAGTGCACTGAACAGAAACATTCATATTCATTAAAAAGTAGATTAGTAAAAGTTATTTATCTAACGAAGCAGCAGATTGTGTTGAATCTTCACTTCGTCTCACAGTCTCCCTTGAGCAAGCACAATGGAGACAGTGGAAAGAAAAAACTCCCTTTAACAGGAAGAAACCTCCAGCAGAACCAGACTCAGGACGAACAGCCATCTGCTTCGACCAGCTGGTTTGAAAGGACAGGGAGGAGAGACAGACACAGAATGACAGGTCCAGAGTGGAGGCAAGCAGTGGGCACGTCTTTCTGTTGGAGGAAAGACAGAAAAAACACATGTTAAGATATAAATAATTACAAGTACAAATTATTAATTTGTATTCATTTGTAACTATTCATTTGAGGGAATGTGGTCAATTTGTCCTCCAGTAGTCTAAGCCTATAGCAGCATAACAATCCAACCCTAACTATAGGATTTATTTATATTATCTAATATCTTATCTATACTTATCTTTATTGGGGCGGCTGTGGCTGAGTGGTTAGAGCAGTTGTCCTCCAATGCGAGAGTTTGGGGTTCGAATCCACCAGCAGTCACATGCTGAAGTGTCCCTGGGCAAGACACTGAACCCCTCATAGCCTCTGATGTGTCCCATCAGTGTATGAATGTGATCTACAGATCCTTCTCAAAAAATTAGCATATTGTGATAAAGGTCATTATTTTCCATAAAGTAATGATAAAAATGAAACTTTCATATATTTCAGATTCATTGCACACCAACTGAAATATTTCAGGTCTTTAATTGTTTTAATACGGATGATTATGGCATACAGCTCATGAAAACCCAAAATGCTTGTCCCAAAAAATTTGCATATCATGAAAAGGTTCTCTAAACAAGCTATTAACCTAACCATCTGAATCAACGACGTAACTCTAAACACCTGCAAAAGATTCCTGAGGCTTTGAAAAACTCCCAGCCTTGTTCATTACTCAAAACCGCAATCATGGGTAAGACTGCCGACCTGACTGCTGTCCAGAAGGCCATCATTGACACCCTCAAGCAAGAGGGTAAGACACAGAAAGAAATTGCTGAACGAATAGGCTGTTCCCAGAGTGCTGTATAAAGGCACCTCAGTGGGAAGTCTGTGGGAAGGGAAAAGTGTGGCAGAAAACGCTGCACAACGAGAAGAGGTGACCGGACCCTGAGGAGGATTGTGGAGAAGGGCCGATTCCAGACCTTGGGGGACCTGCGGAAGCAGTGGACTGAGTCTGGAGTAGAAACATCCAGAGCCACTGTGCACAGGCGTGTGCAGGAAATGGGCTACAGGTGCCACATTCCCCAGGTCAAGCCACTTTTGAACCAGAAACAGCGGCAGAAGCGCCTGACCTGGGCTACAGAGAAGCAGCACTGGACTGTTGCTCAGTGGTCCAAAGTACTTTTTTCAGAGGAAAGCAAATTTTGCATGTCATTCGGAAATCAAGGTGCCAGAGTCTGGAGGAAGACTGGGGAGAAGGAAATGCCAAAATGCCAGAAGTCTAGTGTGAAGCACCCACAGTCAGTGATGGTCTGGGGTGCCATGTCAGCTGCTGGTGTTGGTCCACTGTGTTTTATCAAGGGCAGGGTCAATGCAGCTAGCTATCAGGAGATTTTGGAGCACTTCATGCTTCCATCTGCTGAAAAGCTTTATGGAGATGAAGATTTCATTTTTCAGCACGACCTGGCACCTGCTCACAGTGCCAAAACCACTGGTAAATGGTTTACTGACCATGGTATTACTGTGCTCAATTGGCCTGCCAATTCTCCTGACCTGAACCCCATAGAGAACCTGTGGGATATTGTGAAGAGAAAGTTGAGAGACGCAAGACCCAACACTCTGGATGAGCTTAAGGCCGCTACCGAAGCATCCTGGGCCTCCATAACACCTCAGCAGTGCCACAGGCTGATTGCCTCCATGCCACGCCGCATTGAAGCAGTCATTCATGCAAAAGGATTCCCGACCAATTATTGAGTGCATAACTGAACATGATTATTTGAAGGTTGGCGTTTTTTGTATTAAAAACACTTGTCTTTCGATGAAATATTCTAATTTTTTGGGACAGGCATTTTGGGTTTTCATGAGCTGTATGCCATAATCATCAGTATTAAAACAATTAAAGACCTGAAATATTTCAGTTGGTGTGCAATGAATCTGAAATATATGGAAGTTTCATTTTTATCATTACATTATGGAAAATAATGACCTTTATCACAATATGCTAATTTTTTGAGAAGGACCTGTAAAGCACTGATTAGTTTCTTTAGAATGATTTGTTCAATTAGCTTTGTAGAGATCTAGTAGAGTGCTGCATGAATGGGTAAATGAGGACACAGATTGTAGTGTGAATAGTTTTGAGTATCTTGAAATAAGATAGAAAGGCGCTATATAAGTACAGTCCATTTATCATTTACCATCACAAAAGAAAGTCTTAATCCCAGTCTTAAAACTGGACAATATGTCAGTCTCACAGACAGAAACTGGAAGTTGGTTCCACAAGAGAGGAGCCTGATAACTGAAAGATCTTCCTCCCATTCTGTTTTTGGAAACTCTAGGAACCACAAGTAAACCTGCAGTCTGAGAACGAAATGTTCTGTTAGGAAAATGTGGAACAATAAGATCTGTAATATAAGATGGAACTAGGTTGTTGAGAGCTTTGTAGGTTAAGTAAGATTTTGAATTCTATTCTGGATTTGACAGGGAGCCAATGGAGAGAAACTAAAACTGGAGAGATATGATCTCTCCCACTAACTCCAGATACAAAACAAAAAAAAAAACTAAAGCTCTGTGTGCAAGTTTCAATTTACAGGTACGGATTATGACTGGATGTTTCTTCCTCTCAGCTGACTGGTCAGTGTCAGGTCAAAATCTCCACCACAGCTTAGTGAACAAAGGCATCACAAAAAAGGTTCTACATGGATCAGTTTTACAGACATTGAGCAAATTATGTTGTGGTAGTAGCTCAAGGTCATTTTCAACACTTAAGGTAAATTACCTCGGACCGTGCAATATTTTATGAGAAACTTTCTCTGGATGGCATCACGTCCTCCAGCTCTAATGTTAGAAAGCTTGGTGTTATTTTTGATCAGGACATGTCTTTAATCCCCCACATTAAAAACGTTACTAGAACTGCCTTCTTCCACCTGCGTAATATCACTAAAATTAGAAACATCTTATCTAAAAATGATGCAGAAAAACTGGTCCATGCATTTGTCACATCTAGACTGGACTATTGCAATGGTTTATTATCTGGATGTCCAAATACGTCTTTAAAACGTCTTCAGTTGATCCAAAATGCTGCTGCCAGAGTCTTAACTGTAAACAGACCTTCACAACAAAGATTTGTAACTTGTGTGATTATTTTTTTACAAATACATATCTTTTTTACACACCCACATTCCTGTCTACACATGCACAAAGATTATACAAGGTTACCAAACTGATTTACAAGCACAAAATAATTATGACCAGAATTTGTGCCCATAACTTCTGATCTATTCAAAATAATTTAACATAACTTGCTGCACATATGCATCATCACTAGATGTGTTACTTACACCTTTCACCACCTCATCTCCAAGGTCAGGGCCACAAGTCAAGGTCAACATTAAAGTCTTTGCTGGCCTGGGACAGTGCTGTAGGTTGCTGTATAATAGTTTAGGAGCAGGCGTGTAATGTGCTTTTTGTGGTGCTCTTGTTTTCTCTTCAGGCTACACGTTGGCCACCAAACTGAGGAGACACATGAGGTCATCCCACCTGAAGGAGAAGCTGTACAGCTGCTCCTGCGGCGCCTCCTACACTGTGAAACAAAGTCTGCTGAGGCACCAAGCTCAGCACAGGACAGTCAAAGGAGCTCAGATGGAGGCAGGAGGCCCGAGAGACGAGGCTGAGCAGGAGTCAGAGGCTCCAGGCTGCAGCCACTCAAAGCCAGTTCGAGGTAGACCCAAGAAGTATCCGCTTCTTCGAGCGTCAGAGGGGAGGGACAGAGGTGAAGTAAAGCAGAGAGGAGAACAAGACAAGCACACAGAGAAGTTCAATAGCATTGAAATGTTGACTGGAGGAGCAGAAGAGGCTCAGAGCGACGTCCAGCACGCTGTTGTTTACGTCCACACGGATGACTTTTCTGCACCGACCTCCACACCTCTGCTCCTCGCAGCCGATTGCTCACTCCCTGATGGGACAGAGCCGGAGCTGATGGAGGTGGTGATATCAGATGGTGCAGAGCAGTGCATTGTGGTCCGTGGGCAACAGGCGGTGGGGGAGCTGCTGATCCTGCAGGAGGAGGAGAGTGGATTCTGCACTGTGGCTCAGACTGTAGAGATAAACACAGTGTGACCCGAAACAACCGCCTGAGGACACGCTGATCATCACTTTCAGTAAATGATGACTCGTCAGTTATATTTCTGGGTAAAAACTGTCCTTCAACCTACTCACCTACACTCAGCCCACTTTATTAGTTAAATAGGCTTTATCAAACCCATATGAACTGTTTATGAGTAAGGATTATTTTACACACAGAAAACTCATAATTTTATTTTTCTTGTGTGTGTTCAGAGACTTTTGTAATAACTCCTTCTGTGCTGACGTTTGAGTGACAGCACTGCACTGTGTGTAACCAGACAGCATGAAGTTGTGTGTCCAGCCTCAACAAATAAACTTGGTCAATTTTTTTATTATTATTTTTACTGGAACACTGTTAAAGTTGAAGATGAGGGTAAAGTCTGCAATGTTTGGAGTTTTCTAAAAGAAATTAAAGTATCTTCATGATTTGTACATTTTAGAATCAATTGAGGACTCCGGCGTTTTATTTTTATAGATTTTATTTTATTTGAGATAAAGTAATTGGTTCAACATGTACAATCTAAAAGAGTTATATTTAACTTTACCATCAAGCCTAAAGGGTATTTCAGAGAGGATACTCCACAAACGTTGTCTTGGTTCTTAAAGTCAACGTTTTGAACAACGATGTCATGCAATGTGACTCTTTCACACCAAACTTTGTCTCAATATTTCTGATTAAAGAGTAAAATAATTATTTCATTCAAATCCATCAAGTGGTTCAAACAACGAAACACAGAGACAGCGGCTAAAACCATCATCTTTTTGCCTTTAGCATCGGTCAATGGACAGATTCAAGGGTTGTGGGCTTATATTATTGTCAAATAAAGATTAATAAACGATTTATATGGAGTAGTTTAGTTTATTGTTTATTTGTCACATGCAGGTCAACACAAGGTCATCAATGCCATGAAATGTTCAGGACTAAAAGAACTGCCTTGACTTGCCAAATAAAACAAACAAGAAATGCCAAAGAATGCAGCAAAAGCACCAAAGGTGAAAAAGAAATACGTCTACAAGGTTCAAAAGAAATATAGTAAACAAAATGGTAGAATACAACGGTGCAAGTAAGATGAATCTACAAACTAGTACCTCACAGAAGGTATGTTTTACACACATAATATACTGCAATAAAAAGCAATTATAATAATAATAATAGTGTTATAAAAACACTATTACTGTTAGCAGCGTGGTCCTGTTAGCAGCATGATGACAATCGCAGCAACGGACGATGACTGCCCTCCAGAACCGGGTCCGGTAGGCACAGAACATCCAGGTTTCCCCACAGAAATTAACTGTTCTGTTCTGTAGAGTTTGGTCCGTGCAGGCAGATGGAGGATCATGGAGATGGCTGCCATGACAGGCTGGAGCCTGAGCCTGAGGTGGGTAGAGGGCCGGGAACTGAACCATGACGGTGGTACGATGGCAAGGCAGCAACACACAAAACTCCCAAAGTGCATCGAGGTCATACCCGTAGTGTGGGTGTACAGTGCAGGCGAAAAAAGTCAAAATAAAAAAAAGGCGAGTCGAAACATAGCGCCCATCAGTGCTGCCATACTGCGGTGCACGTGATGTGAACTCACATCTCAAGTATATCTAAAAAAAGTTAAATCTGGTCCTCTGGACATTCAAAAAAAAACCAAAACAAAGCAAAACAACAAAAAAATGTAGAAACGTTTCGTCTCTCG